GTAACAAGAGTGAAACTCCCTCAAAAAAAAAAAAAAGGTAGACATCTGTCTATTTGTGTCTGAAGTGCTCAGGAGAGGCCTGAGTTCGGAGCTCACATTTGAGACTCATTGCTTAAATCAATGATTTTTACGTAATGGGAAAGGGTGAAAACCCCCATGTAGGATGAGAGTTGGCCTTGAGCCTTTAGTGTTTCCTCAGTTTCTTCAGTGGGCTAGGAGAGGGGCAAAAGCTGGTGATGGGAGTCAGAAGTCGGACAAAGAGAGCTGGGAAACGTCTGTGGGGGGTGGTGCTGTGGGTTTTTTACTGACCTTACAGAAGAGTGTCAAGTGGCAGGCAGTGGGGGAGCTGCTGCAGGACTGGGGGGGAGTCCAGGCAGGAAGTGGAGCAGGTAAGGGTAAGCAGTGCAGGAGGAGTGTAGAGGTGAGGGTGTCTACTCCAGGGGGTGGCTCTCAGTACTGCCTTGTGCTTTCCTTGTTGGGTAGCCTACGTTTAGCAGGAAAACTAGTCATTTGATGAAGTGCTGCTTGAATACCAGGTGCTGTTAGTGGATGCTGCACATGCATGACAGAGCAGGCTTTCAGGGAGTTTTTGTTGAAGTAAATCACAGCATTCACCAGCTGGCGATGCGACCCTGGCCCACACCCACATTCTCACCTCTGTCCTCGCTGCCTTGGGGTGTCTTTCTTCTGTTACCGCCACCACATGCACAAACCCAGGCACACAAGTGCGGACAGAAGATGAGCTGTTTGGACTTGCGAGGGCCTGTATGCTTGGCGTGTGGCACATTGAATGGCCTCTTGCTCTGTGTGCTCAGAGGGGATGATCCAGATGCCTGGCATTGGAAGATTGGTACTGAGATTTCTGCTCTGGTTCTGTTAGAGTGGATTAACAGCTTCCCCCTCTGTTGTTTCTGTTAGGTACTGCCGTTGGCGTCACTGCCATAATGCCACCTCGGATCCTTGGCATCAAACCAGAGCTCGAGTGAAAATAACCTTGCCTAGTCACTCAGCTTAGAGAGTGAGGGAGTGGGGGAGACTTGAAGAAATGCTGGCTTTCCTGCTGCTTGTTGGCTGCCCTGCTTTGTGTGCTGTGGCTGATGGGCAGGTTTTTAGTTCCTGAAAGATAGAAGATTGCAGTGTTCCTTACTTATGGGAATTGACTCCTGTCTTTTCTCTGTAGACTGGTAGGACTGGTGTGGTTTGAATCCTTTATGCTGCTGTGTCATTCTAACTATCAGGGAGGAAACCTTTCATAATTGGGTCTTCCTTACCGTGTAACCTATTACACGAAAGAGTCTCTAGTGTTTTATACTATTTCCAAATGGAGTGGAAAGAACTGTACAGTGGGATACCCTTAGACACATTCTCCAATTAATAGTTTATCTTTGCTCAGTTACGTATCCAGTAATGCTGATAACGTAACGTTGGAGTAATTGAAAGAAAACAAGAACCATACAGTTTATTTCTAAGTTGTGTGTTTTTTTTTTTTTTTTTT